TTTGTATATATGTTAGCGTGTAAGGGTAGAACATAATAAACAGAATGCGACGTCATGTTTTTCAGTTTGAAAACGAAGCAGCCACTTGTTCTCACTATTAATATAATATTAAAGGTATCCTAGTTTTAATGCCTGGTTGTGAACCTACCTTCAAGAGAGATGGAGTTATAAGCTTCTTTGGGTGAAGCAAATTTCACCTTCTTGTAGCACACTCGTGGCGTCGACTTCTACGATTTGCACAGCCGTCTGTCGATCGAGTCTTCATATATAAAAGTGCCGGCCACAATGAGATTCCTCCCATTCAATTTCCGCTGATAACTTTAATTCACTGTACTTGAAATAACCTTTGTTCATGCATTTCCTTCAGGCGTCGTTGTGTTTAAATTTCTTGACACATATGCCCTCGTTAACGTTAGCATTGTCCAAAGGGGCAATTAAAAACACGACGATCGTAGGCCAGAAGGCTGTTGAAATATTATTGCTTGTTGCTTAATGGGCTTCGTTGAAATACAAACCATGCAACTGACATTTTCTCATTTTAAGTTCAAATTAATGCTTCCAGAAAATGGACTAACTTGTCATAGCTCTTTACCTAAAACTTCAGTTAATCTTGGACATTTTTGTTTTTTAATACCATGTATAGACAACTGTATATGTACAAAAAAAAAAAATTGTCGCACCTGCTTTTTACTTCTTCAACAGGAAACTGTAAAAGTTCAAATTAATGATTTTCTTTTGCATTCAGTTTTCCAAGTCGGGAGTCTTACCTCTACTCTTCAGAGATAATGACAATAGTGCGGAGTTTCCTTTTCGAACGAAATTTTCAAAGGTTGACCTTTAATTCGAGGTTTTTCACCGCCGCTTAATTGCTTAGAGTTTCGTGTCGTTTCAGTGACGTGTTGAAATATAGTTGTAAGCCATTCAGCACGATTTATATTTAAATTACGTTCAACAACAGTTTGAGTAAACAAGGAAAGAATGCCTACGCAGATAGCTTTCATTGTAAGAATCCATCACCAAATTGTCTGCTAGCCCTGCAGTTCCGGCGTCTTTCGCACGAACAAGAAAATGGCTTTTAGGAATTGAAAAGAAGCGTCCTAAATTAGTAGGAAATATTAAGACCTGTAACTTAATTTGGCTGTGTTTGTTCGTAGCTGACTTCTCTCCGAATTTCCCGGCACCTGATAGAACATGCGTTAACGTTTGCTCTATTCGTACTTCGAATTTGCGTTTTGTTAGAGTTTATCTTTTCCCTGATCACAGACTTTTTTTGCGACAAGAACGTTCTCATCAGAAACTATGAGCGAAATCAGTAAAACTTAAGTAGCAAACCTTATGATTTCCATAATCAAAGCGGTAAAACTGGTGTATGTTACATATTCCCGTGCATCTGTTTTGTTAATATTAGGTCTGTAAATTTGGTGGTGTATTAACTGCACATGTGTTGATAACTTCGTAGCCAGCTATTATTTTGATTCTCGCCTACCTTATGTAAAATGCATTCAGTTTTCAAAAAGATTTAAAGGCCAATATTGTGGAAACCGTGCTTTTTACGATAATATATACACGATAAAAACGGATATATGCTATAACTCTTTGTTTACTCGAAATTTTTTGCACTTATGTTAGCGTCAACCATAGATCAAAGATATGAGCAGCTTCTTCACCTTAGCGGAAAATCTTTCAAGTGCACTTTATATTTGATATTATTTATATTACCTAGATATCGTCGAGTTTTTCTCACGGGAAATGCTTTTAAATTCACATGATATTAATTAATAACTCCTTGCTGGACAAAATAGACTTCCCAGACTGCTGACTACCATCTCTTGCTGAACACCCTGGGGATCTTTTTTCTCCTGTACTCAGAACTTAATAATGTTTTGACTTGGCTGCAATTAAAATACCACTAAACGGAAATTTACTGACAACCGCCTACTAGCAAGAAAGTGCGTTTAAATTTCTTTTTACATGCATTGTTCTGTTTATAGAGAAAAGGAAACAATAACTTCAACGAAAACAGCGAGGCTATTTCTAGAAAAAAAAACTTTTTATTAGCTTGCCTTTTAGTGCATTTTGCCTTGTGACTTTGTTTTCTTTGTTCAAATTTTAATCATTGTAATTTGCAATTTACAATCTTAAATGGAAGATGCAACATAACGGTATTTTAACATTATTTTATTTCAGCGAATTCGGTGATACCTCTTAACTGTATACATGAAAATAGTATGAACCACTTTGCAGTCAAGTACTTTCAACTTTCTGTAAAGGTCTCATTATAAACCACCGGTCTAATACTGTGAAATACATGTATACTGCAAACATAAAGGGTGGCTTGCCTGACTGAGGAGTCCCTCCCACCCGCATGTCGTATCTGGGAATACGTGCTTATCCATAGAAGCTCTGGAACTAAACTCGATTAAAGAACTTTCTCATTAATTTTTCTTTTCCTCAATAATTTCTCTTTGATAGCTTAGCTATCGTGACTGTCACCAGCCTTTTCGTTTTCCGAGGGTGTAAGGGAAGTTGTGGGAGTCTCCTTTATTTGAACAAGCTATTAAAAATGCACTTAAAAATACGACCACCTGTTTTGATAACAATGGGTTAATTTTAACAACTGGGTGTCCACGCGTGTCTAAGTTTCTGAAGTACGGCACACAATAGTTTATAAGATGCTTGATCTTGTACACTTGATAATTTCTATTCTATTGACTCGAACATTTCAGCGAAAGAACAAAAATACTTCCAGTTAAAGCGAAATTCCGTTAACGTACGAAAATATTGTACCAAAATACAGCAGATCGTTTAGGTTTGGTTTTGGTAACCCTATAGTTCGAGAATTTGCTCTGCAAGTTTCGAGCAAAAAAGCGAGTCAGCAAAAGCAAAGTGAAAAGCTGCGCTTGGACAGTGTTCGCCTTTGCAACTGAGCTGATAGTACAACAGTTACGATTGTTTTCGCCAGAACACGATGGCTTTGACTACCTCTGTTTCGCATCTAAAGACGAGACAAAGGCTAGCGCTTTCGTCACGATGCTTAATATCAGATGTCACATTTGGCTGCTCCTTTGTCTTACTCTTGATAAATGTCAATGGTCTGTCATCTTCGAACAGGCCTTTTGCCACCAGAGATAAAGCAAATGCGATATTTGTAACCTTTGACCTGATTCAATGATGTCAAATTGTTAGTGTACAACGTAAGGGATGTTCCTGATAGACTGCTAAGCAACACAGGTCACTGAGTAGGCCTTTCCACAAATGTCGGGATATTCTTTGGGGAGATTAAAAGATATTTAGAAAATTTAGGGATATTTACAATATCTATAGCTTTTTGGGCTAAGGGCTGTGTTATCCTTACTATTTTCTTGAAACAATACTCAGTTTCTAATGCCAGAAGCAATCGAGTTCAGCGATTTCCCGCTTGAAAAATGTATTATATATCACTAAAAGCGCTAAAGCAGCAATTTTCCAAAATGGCGAATGCTGGTAGCACGGAAGCGCCTGAATCTTCCTCTCAACTCCTGCAACTGCAAAAATTTTGGAAAATATTGGCCTTAGTGATTCAAAATCAGTTTATTTTTAAAATAAAAACAAGAAATATTTTGAGGGTTTCTCGAAATATTTAGATTTTTTTGTGATATTTATTTATTTATTTATTTTTTGAGAAATGTATGTAAGGTATTTTACGTGTTTTTTTCGTGGAAAGGCCTATCACCGGGAAAAAAGGAGGCTGCTTCAAAACGTGTTCTCCATGCATATTCGATTCCAACGTTCTTATGGCTTTCCTCTAAGCGAAAAGCTGACGTAACAACTGCTGGTGTGCTCGGAAGTTCTCGTGCAGTGTTAAAATAAGAGCCTATTCATATATTTTACGACGATGTATATGTGTGCAAATCGACGCCCTTTTGTCGCGACTGAATTAAAGCGAACGACACAGATAAATTACTTCTTACTTTGATTTTATTTTGTTACTGCACTTTGAAAAACACTTTACAAAAGTATGACTATTTAATTTACTGAAGTTGGCCGCCATTTTCAACAAGGTGAAAAAAGGCAATGAAATCTATGTTTGGGAGAAAGTTGACATCTATTGTTAAATGAATTTACTACAAATTCATCTGTGAAATAAATAAGTACCCTATTTACGTTTTTGATTTCCGACTACAGTGATCACGTATTCTGTACTTTACTCAAAAGTCTTTTTCAACTGCCTTGAAAGCGCATGTGTCGTGTGCTGATTTCAACATGAAGTGAACTTTATTAAAATGAATCATCTGCTTTTGGTCAAAAATGCCATATAACGTCTAAATAATGAATCCCCCCACCCACTAAGCGTGCAGTTGACGTTAAACGGGGAGCACGAAAATACGTCGGCGGCAGCTAAATCTAGCAGCAGAATGTCATTCATTTTATTAACATGGCTGTTTTATTAGGTCTGTTCATTTATTATCATATGAAGATATTACAAAACACCTCGCTCTTTTTATAACACTCGGTGCCAGAAAAAAACCCAACAACATCTAGTTTTGAACAGAACAGAATTTCCAATGTTTGCTCTGCAAAAACTTTCTTTTAATTTCCTGCGTCAGCAACGAAGTATAAGAAAACGACCACGCGGGCAACCAAATTTAATTTACTCTCCCGTTGGTCTGTGATTAGCACTGGTTGTCGTTCACTGCTTGCAAAAAGGAAGACATTTCATTTCGGCTTTCTCCCATTGTCTGCCTCTTTCATATAATTATTGTGGGTGACGGTGTTTACGCCAGTGAATAAGCTTTAAAATTATTGACAGTTGATTGATGGATTAAGGTTTTGATATCGGAGTTTCTGTCATAAAACTTTTCCTCCTGTAGGCGACCTAGACTTATCTCAAACTGGATGTCAATGATCGTGCGTTTTATAAGGTCTTATAAGTATTTTGAAAGACACCTGTGAAAAAGGATCAGCTTGCGTACACTTTTATTTCGTCACTGTTTCCTATTGACAAGAGAAAAAAAAGGAAAAAGGAAATTTCTACGACTATTGGAACCAACTTGTCGAGAATATAGCGCTCCTAATATAAAAGAAAAATCTCTTAGTTAGCTGGTGGCTATGGTATACGATACTCAACCACAACTTAATGAGTCGATAGTTTAAGGGTATAAAGACCAGACTGGCGAGACAGGAAGAAGATTAAAGGAATATAGTCTTATTGTTCCTGATTTAACGACACACACACTAGCGAGACGTAAAGAAACGAAGGCAATATAGAGACACGGGCTAGCTTTAAATATAGAAACAACAACAAGTAACAGAAAACGTATAATACCAGAAAACGGTCAACATCCCATGTTACCCACAGCTTTGATATAAGCCACATTGTAACCTCACAGTGATAAAATTATTCGAGAAAAACATGACTGATTGAACAGGAAATAGCGTGAATATTCACTCTAGCGGCGTAAGCTGATAACATTGAGATGTAGTGGAAAGAGACTTTCAGAGAGATGTTTCCAGGTCTGTCAGCTGTGTGTCTCTTCTATAATAATATTAATGATAAAGAATGAAATTTCGCTCTATCTTTTATGCTTGCTTTCGTAAGTCACACCGTTCCATTTGCTATCCATTTCAAGAATGGAATTAAAACGAGTATCGAACCAAATTTCTATTGATAAATTCATTACGTGATCATTGGGAGAAATACTTCACTGGTTTGGACAATAATTCACCTTAGCCATGGTATATGACGAGTGGAAAGTTTCAAGTTAGTCACGTGGTACAGGCAACGTCAAAAGAAATCGAAGACTACCAAGAGAAACGTGGAGACGAACTGTAGAAAGAGAGCGTAATTTTGATGCGTTTAACATCACGGGCTGCAGAAAAGAGAAACAAAAGGGATAGATGAAGCCAACTTATCTCTGGCCCAATCCTCCAACTGCGAGCAAGGAACTGAAGACAGACACCATCATGCATGTCACGGTCTAGGTGAGGAGAGCATGCGCAGATGCACGACCAAATGGAATGCATGTACTAAATATTAAAAAAAAACCTGAATGCCATGAACAGAGTAATCAGCAAGAGAAGTTATCTTCCATTAGATGCATTTATTGTTACAATTTAAGAGTTACAAGATTTCCCCAAACCAAATCACTTACAATATTCGGGTTAAACAGGTTACACTAAAGAGTGGGTGTCATGTTTTTGAATACTTTTCATATATATCCTCTTATACTAAGAGATGGAGATCATAGATTAACAAGGTTGATTGTAGAAATTTCCTCCATTATCATTATTTCATCAATCATAGTATTTTTTTCATTCCTAGTGGTTTTATGTCGTAGCTTCGTTCCTTTTTTAGTTCAACCACTACATCAAAAATCATCTCGCCAAAGTAAAACTAATGGTGTAATGCAACACAATGAGTCTTAAACAATTACAATCTCGAGCCAGAGGCACTTCGCTTTCTATGTCAATGAATTTTAAAACACAACTGAAATTGCTATACTATATCTAAACAATTAATCATCATTGAGTACATTCTTATTCAAAATGTCGTCCATATCATCGGAACCGAAGGAGTTGAACGATATTGAATGGTGGGATATTCCACTCTGTGAAATAGAAAACAGAATTCAAACAATGTAAAAACAAATAGAACATTATAAAACAATATTTTAACGTGACTAATTTTCCTAGTGTGCTATTGGATATGGTGTTGGTTTTAGCTTTCGCAATAATACTTTATTAGGCCTTGTTCACACTAGCGACATAACCACATAAGAACGACGTTATGTCGTCATGTTTGCAGTGTGAACACACTGGCATAGCGACATAATAGCAACATAACAGCGTGATCATAACGACAAAAGGAAAAAAAATACTGAACTTGTTACCGCCGAAATAAAAGGTTTTTGTCAACGTCCGAAATATTTCCTTTCGTTCTATAACATGGAACGATGACGTCACCTGACGTAAAAAGGACAGCATAATTTTTGACTGGCCGTCATCTTGGATCTGCCATGTCTAAATTTTTGGATATTTTCAAGCCACTATGGTTGACTTTTTTTTACGAAAGACGCCATTAATTTGTGACACAACGTCACGAGTACCATATTATTTTCTCTAAAGTAGAGGTTCGGATGCTTAAGAAATCAGATAATTTTCATAACCATTTAGTGAATACTTGTGGTGAAAAGAAGGAAAAATAACCCAGGCTACATAGTAACTGTAAAAAATATAAAAGTGAATAAATAAAATTATAATAAAAACACATAAATAAATAAAAAGATAAATAAAAATACATGAATAAATAAATAAATAAATAAATAACTGTAACTGTACAAAAAGTAGAGAAATAAATAAAAAATAAATAGTAACTGTATACAGCTCGTTAAAAGGAACTGCTTTCCCTCAATGAGGTTTGTAGCTCCGAAATTTGGTCAACCATAATCTGCAAGGCACGATAAAGAAATACGGATGGAAAGGGATAGTCCTTGAGTATTCATGCCTGATAAAGACTGATATTCTCCCCATTTATGCATTTGGTATGATATCAGTGTTATAAGGAACAAATAGATGTTTAATCTCGCTCACCCTTTTTCCATGACTACGCCTGCTTCGTCTTCGTCCACAAAACCAAGTAAACCCGCAGGGTTTTCGTTTTCTCCCTCTCTTTTCAATCTCATCCTTAAGGTCTCGTATCTCCATGTCCAGTAGCTGAGAGAGCTCTGAAGCGTGGGTGTGGCGTGAGGCGTGCAGAAGAAGTGCCACGCTCAGTGCTGCCAGGAGAATAAGCGACGTTTTCATTGTTTCAACCTTTTCTGACACACTTGGATGTGTATGAACGTTTGCTCTTGTAATACTGTAAAATGGAGACAGTTTATAACAAATAAACCAATTTTAAACACTCTTGTTCTTTGGCCATTTCAATTTAACAAGAAATAAAATGCCAACAGCGGCATCAAACATAACACATGAACTACGCATGGTTTGGAACAACAATCTAAAATTTTCTTGACGTTTCGCATGCTACAGCACGCATCTTCAGAAGTGGCGGTTACAAAAAAAACGAAAGATTTAAAACTTAAAAATACAAAGCGAGGTACTGGTAACTAAGTAAACAATAACGAAAACAAAAGGTGATAGCTAATAAAGTGACAGCTTTTCACTGCTAGCATTGTCATTAAGTGTTGGTTTTAAGTCTCATATAAACAATGTTTCTTTTATTTTACAATGTAAATCACATCGTCCACTAGCTAAGACCTCGAAATGGTCCCATTTGATGTTATGGCCGGTGGAGATTGCGTGATCAGCAACAGCGGAAGCGTGACCCACTTGCGTAAGGGCTTTAAAATGCTCGACCTTTCTGTCATGCAGTCGTCGCTTTGTTTTGCAGATATAGAAAGCGTCACAATCCCAGCAGCTGGCTTTGCATACGACTTTAGATTTTTGCGAGCGATTTAAACGATCTGTGTAAGGAAAAAATGACTTAACTCGGCAAGTGTTCTGAAAAGATGTAAGTGTTCTGAGAGATGTAATCCTTGTGCTTCCTTATTTAGGTTTTCGAAGCGAAGTTTTTAAACGTCGTCTTAAATCTTGTGTTAGTAAATTTTTTGGTATCGCCAATCTTAGGTTGATTTTTTTGAAAATCTTTCGTTTTTTTATAACCGCCTCTTCTGAAGATGCGTGCTGTAGCATGCGAAACGTCAAGAAAATTTTAGATTGTTGTTCCAAACCATGCGTAGTTCATGTGTTATGTTTGTTGCCGCTGTTTGCATTTTATTTCTTGTTAAACCAATTTTAGTGAAAAATTGTTTTCTTGGTAAATAAGTGTATGGCAAAACTTTTTATATCCTACTTATCGCCAAGTGGTGAGTGAAATGCCCTTAGATTCTATTCTTGAATGTACAATTCATTCCAGCACACCTATCATGCCCTTTTGCAAGTCTGCTTTGTTTATGTAACTTTCTGGTACATTAATCTCTCGTGCGCACTGGGCAGCTAGTAACTCTTGAGGGTTTTTCAATACAACAGATACGCAGCGAGTCGTCCAAGGGGCGACCATCTGGGAAGTAGAGTGAAACCCTTCTTGCGACCCGTTACGGATCGGGTGTATTGGATAGGAATATAACTCTTATAATGGCTTGAACAATTTCTTAATCATTAGACTGACTGCACTCGAAGGGGTTTTGTCATGTCTGTACTTTTCCTCGTGAGTTTTCACGGCAGCAATATTGCTGACCCAAAACAACAAAATTTCGGCTATTCGTTGGTGGACCAAACCAATCCTGATGGCTTTGAAGCCTTTCATTACGTAATCACTTTTCTTTGTTCCAGTTAATTTGCACGGCTGCTTTACGATTCATACGGTCATTTTTCTGTAATTCTGACTGGTCAAATAATAAAAAAACAGCCACCCAAAAAGCCAGAAAAGTTAAATATTTATTAGTAAGTTTGTAGGCGTGGCGCAGTATAATCCTTAAGATTGACACATTGATAACAGTCCTCTTACCACGTGAATACATTAAGAACAACTCTGTGTACGTATGAGTGAAGCGTGGTGAAAATAGTCATTAGTGTGTCGTTGATTGTTTCAATAAGTAAGAGAACTTAGATGTGTATAGTCCGGGTATCCTGAAAAGAACGAAGAGCTCTTTTCACGGTCAATTTCCCTCACGTGGATTAAGGGTAGAAACTGAAAAATTACCCAAAATTACTCAACATTCACGTTGAATAATGTAATGGCAAATAACCATGAAAAGAGCTATTTGCAGCTCTATTACAACAAATGGCTGTGTGCGTGTGTGGAGTGGGATTTAGTGGTGAAACAATTTGAATATGAGCGATTGCGCTTAAAAAAAATTATTTAATTATCATGTATTTAACATGAATATCATCATCATCATTAACAATACCGTTTTTTCTAGGATGATAAACAAAATATGGTTAACTTCGAGGTAAAAAAAAAATGATGCCTTTTCCATCCCTGATAAGATACTGTAGATTAGTAACCAATTCTGCCCCAGTGGAGGGACAAGCAACGCATATTTTTACTCTACCAAACGGGCTATTAGAACAGGTTAAAGATATGTTTAAATAGAAATCTCGACTACCTTTTTCTGCAAACTGAAGAGATTCGAAATACGCATAAAACGTAATTGTTTTATAATCTCAGTTTACAAAATACGTGTTGCTTCTATTTCACTGGGCATCCAGAAAACTCCCACATATTTTTTTTCTCTAGAAACTGATTTTTGGCGCATCTTGTATAACTAGTGAAGAAAACCTAACATTGATTGGTGTTGCCCAGTTAATGGTTTTAATATTAGCACCTGAAGAATAGCCTTGTTTGATGTTGTTAGCAATATCCAGTGTGACGTTTATGAGCGTTCAACTTAGTTTAACGAAGGTCATGGCGAGCAAAATTTTCCTTGCCGGTAAAAGAATACTTTAGAAGTGCCTTCCACGATGTTTATAACCGTGTTTAACTTGGCGACGTTAACACCACTAATGGCCTTGATAGTTTGACTGAGATCATTCATTTCTGGTTTATACAGTTTCTGGACTTTCGGAGAATATGAGGAGCTCTATTAATTGCTAGGGTGAATTCCTAGCGGGCCGGCTAGAGTAATAATGTTAACTTATGCAATGACAAAATTCAAATCAAGATTTCTCTTTGTAAACATGAGAGGATGTATCAAACAAGCAGAAATACTTTCGTAAAGCCTCCGCCTGGTAAATTTCCAAACCAAGGACAAAGGATAAAAAATCGGTATAGCTTAGCTATGACTAGCCTCACACCGAAGATAAACGTTTTTGTAGAAAATGATTGCAATTGCAATTCAGTATTTAAACAAAGAACAGTAACGGAAAGGACAAGTGGTCTCTTGAAAAATACATTTAAATTAAAGTGAAAAATCAAAGTCTTGGCTAATCTACTGAGTTTACTAAGTTTAACGACATAAAATATATAGTCAATTTATTTTGGGAGTTCCATTTCAGTGGGAAAATGCCTTACACTGCTGCTGTCAACCCGGGCTTTGTCATATTGCAAATTACTACGCCACAGAGATGTGCTACACATCTGGATATTGTAAGACTATGGAGCGAAAATCTACGGATTTAAACACTTATCGACGTTTGTGTGTACTCACCACCACAGCTAAACTACAGAGTAACTCTCCTTGGAATTTTGTCGACACCAACACTGCGTACACAAAGGCCCAAACACTCAAGACTCTCCAGCTTTTCTCCGATATCTTGTTATTGAGTGGCTGCCCAGATAACTGAGACGCCCGCGTATGTGGGGAGAACGTAACATGATGGAAGATTAACGAACATCTTGATGAAACAAGAACTCCTTCCGCCTGTCAGGGCTTCCGAAATATCTAATTTCTGATTCCTATATCCCTATTTCTTTACCCTTAGAAAAAACTGGCGCTAAAATTTTTGTTACCTTGTCATTAAATCCAAGTCTTTTTTTATCAGCATGATCTTTTCTGGGATTAAATTCCATCTGGCGATAACGCAGCTTTGAAACTCCATTCGTGAACATTTTATGGCTTATTACATATTTACTGAATTTGCAACAGAAAAGACAACTGCCTTTAATTTGATTTAAATTCTTCATTTCAAGCATTTACTTTATTTGAATATTATTTAACACCAGTACATGTATAAAAGTTTCAATGTGTTACTGACCAATAACAAAAAGGAACAGTTTTAAGAACGTCGTACGAAACGGTTAAGTTCTAGCGACCAACAAAATGATATTTATTCGTGTTGATATCTGAGCAAGATTGCAAAACATGCTGTTAAATCCTAGTTAAATTCTGAAAACCCCGCGACGAATTAATAACAGAACTTCAAAGCAACGATTTCATGTCATTCCTTTTTCAATTTTTTTTTTTCTAAGATTCAAAGTCTGCGTCTTTTTCCATTTTTTGTTGTTGCTGTTTTGCTCAATGTAACGTTAAGTGTAAAGTATGACGTCAAACCGTGGAAATGTAAACCACAAAACTATATTTTTTTGTCTTGTGGTTCGTGACGTTTTCGGTGTTATCTGCTTTACTAAGGTTAAAGATTGCATTTAACACTCTTATCTTCATTTCCTTTAGTCAGAGAGCAGAACTGTAAATTTAAGAGCGGACAGTTCGATCACGTTTGTACGTTTGCGAAAAGGAAAATTCTCTGATTGGGTTATGTTATTCAGATTGATATCTAAACACTTCCCTACAAAAATCGCCTTTCCCTAATTAACTTCCAAGTTTCTCTGTTAATAGAGCTTAAGAATAATCACAAATTAGTCGTGATAACATAATTTATGCATTACCTAAGGTTTTGTTCGAGCTTGTGATACATATTGAAAATAATGTGGATCTCCCACACCATCAAATGTCTTCCAATCTGCGAACGAAACCTTTGCGATTTAGAAGAATCAATCTCACTGAGAGTTTTAAATACTGCAACAGGTTATAATAGGTAAAACGTTTCAAAATTAAGTTGAAGTTAATCGTTAAAGCGGTCAACAGTTTGGGGCTTTAGAAAGTATATGCAAAAGATGTACATTTCAGCCAGACAAGGACTTATTTTCAAAGCTGTCGAGAAAAACATTTTCAAAGAGGTTACAATAAATTCAAAGTCCTCAACAAAAACAGTTGTTTCGAATGTAATTTATTCATAATGATAACGAGAACAAATACTGTGGGCAGTTTGCTCTCTCGGCTAAATAGAAATGCAAATCAAGTAATATGGGTATTGTGGTCTCGTTATTCGTTTGCAAAAATAGTAGAGATGATATCGGAAACAATTCGTCAATGGCGAGAGTTCGGTGAAAATTGAACACCAGAAAAAATAATTTCACGGCTGAGTACAGTTCACGAGGCACTTTTATACTAGACACAAAACTAATATACGATGGGAAACAGCATATGTCGATAATGGCAAATTTAGGCATGTCCTCGGATTGGCTACAGCTGCAGGGCAGAAATGAGGCATTCTGATTGATGGAGTAGTACCAACTGATCTGTAGAAAAATCTCAGTTGCAATTTCAAACATTCCTCCGCTTGCATCATTTTTTTTTTTTTTTACAATTATCTCCGGTCACTACTTGATATATGGCTTTGGTTTCTACTTACCTTGCAGACTCTTAGCTCGACTGTAATAATTTCTAGTTAATAAGCGAGGTTTCTCGACCGATTAATTGCCTTTGTTTGCCGGAAACGTTTATCCCCGGTCCCTCGTTTGGGAACGAGGTTAGGGTGCAGCTCGCCGAACTGGGACAACAATCCTGGAACGTCTCGAGCCACTTCTAGTCTAACTGCGTTCATTCCGTCCAGCAGTCTAGCCCACGGAGTGGATGCTTGACTCTTCGTCTTTTCTCCTTATCTTGCCAATCACTTACCTTTTGAAGATATTTGGCCGCAATTAATGTTCATCTTTTTGGCGAAAAAGTTACTGGGCTCTGCACGACAGTGAAAGATATGTTAGCCTTTCTTTTCGACTTGGATTCTTGATTCTACTCGCGGACGATTCATTTGTTGATGGTGGTAGGAGTGCTCCCTACTTTTTTATGTGGGGGCGCAGGCGGTCCACTGTCGAAGACATTAAAATCAATCAAGATTAACTAATCTCACCGCTATGAATTGGGTATGGCCTACACTAACTGTTAAAAGAGGAGATTGTCCCCCGCCATCTTTCAACAATTGTCATTCATACCAAAATTGCACGAACTTAATATGCCAGTTGATGTTTTGAAGTGCTTGATTAGAGCACAGACATTTTGGTTTTGTCAGAACAATGAGAAATGTGAGCAGCTTGCATAGGAAGATAACTCATTTCGCAAAGGAGTGATATCCTATTGTTTAGGAACACCAGTCTAGCCACCTTGACGACAATTAGAGACGCTCTCTATAATAAAGTTTATTAAAGAGAAATAAATATTTAGTCTCTAGCTTCAAATCACCAACGAGGTGAGAATGGTGCAAAATGTCATTCTGTGCAACGGTGTGTTGGGAAAACAAAGGACTAAGAAAACGAAAGACATACAACACCTACGGTCAAGAGATGGTGTAGCAAGACTTCTAATTGTTAGCCGGTTTCAGAAGATGAAAAACTCAATTTTTATTTGTCTTTCAAGCACCAAAGTTGTTAACATTGGTAGAGGTTCATGTTCGTTGCATTCAGCTAAACGTTCTTCGGTAAACATTATAACGCTTTAAATATGGCCAAAATCAGTGTAAAATGAAAAGTGACTTGATGTGCTTGGCTTTTCGCTAGCTGAGGGGTTGATTTGATGCTTTTTTGTTCTGTTTCCGGTAGGGTTTACTTGTCCAACGGATAAAACTCCAAGTCGTCCTCTTCTGCTAGCTTGGGTTTCGTATTTTGGCCAACAAACACCTATAATTCCGAATGTAAAAAAAAAAAAAAAATGTGATGTCAGTTCAAGACGTTTCTTTAATTTCTATTTAACTACCACCAGTATGACACGCAATATCTGTTAGCAGTTATTTTGAACCTGCTGAACTTGATTTAAACGACAATTCGAACGTAATTAAAGAATTACTTAAGAAAGCTTGTCTATCAAAAACAAGAATAACACAGCAGAGCTTCTAAACGAATCATTGTTCTGATCACAGAGAACATGTCTTATTTCAAATAGTCATCTACTTTGTAGTTTTGCAGCTACTTTTTTTCAAATTTTTATTTTCACTTTCGTACTAGGCAAGCATAGCTCCGCGGTTTTATTTTTCAAGTTAATTTCAGCGAGATATTTAGCGTCATTTAACTTTTATGCTGGCAATAGATGATATCGGCCCTTTTGAACTTCATTCAACTTCCCTTTTCAGGTTTTCAAGATCATGTTGTGCATGTCTTTTTGAAATAGCTATCTCCCTTGAAGTTTTGCAGCTCACATTTTAATATTCACTTTAATACGAGGAAAACATACCTCAGCGGTACATTTCTTGTTCATTTTAAGCTCAGCGATATATCTATCAAAACGTTTATGCTGGTAATAGTTGAAATATCGGCTCTTTTGATCTTCATTCCACTTCCTTAAAAAATAATTAACAGTTTTGAAAGAGGTTGATATCAATAAAGCGGTATTAGAAGAAACTGTCGGAGTCCAGCAGCCTTGTCAACCCCCTTGCGTCAAATCGCTAAAAACATCAAAGAAATCTGCTTCCTCTTTTCCAAACAATGTCTGAGGTAAATTTGACAAATTTATTCGCGATTGAACCTCTGTCTTTTTTTCGCCTAAGAAAGGAATACACGGTCAAAGGAAACTAACAATAAGAAATAGGAGGATAATGAACTAGAGAACGCTGCACGTCTCTTTTAGTTACCATTACAGAAAGCGTTTGGCAATATTAAAAGGCAATTAAAATTAGGAACAAGCACCTAAAGGAGTACTATTTTCGGCCACTGTAAATTTACCTTTGATTTCTTTTGGTTATTTCCGCAGCATTTCATCGAAGTTAGTCCACAGCAAAGTAAACTTGAAGATGACATGAGCGGTCGTTGAGGATCTTCAACCTCTCGTACATAAACTGGAAAAACAGGAATAGCCAAGGATTGCGCTAGTAAAGAGAAGGTAGCAAAAAGCAATAGATAACGTTTTAGCATCATCGTCCGTCTTGAAATTGCTAATTCCTACAAGGATCAAGTATTTGACACTAGTATTTCCACTTTTCTTTTAACCGGAGACTTAGACTAAAGGCTCTTAGTCCTATAAGTGAACTGGTGCTTTTACAGTCACGTTTATATGCTAAACGCAAGGTGTTGTAAGGTGACGCAATTCAAAATGGAAGGAGGTGTGGCAGCCGGACTTTATTCTTAGATTTATTTGCTTTTTTTCCAGATTAGTCAAATAGAGGGCGCTGTGTATTTGTCAACACAGGGCGGGTGGTGCCGTCTTTTAGACTCGCCGCTCTAACATTACTCGGTTAAAAATAAACATGCAATTAAATTTTCCGAAAGATTTTCCCACTTTAAACTCCGCATGGTTTTTTTTCTTTTTTTCTTGCAGACAGTTAAACATGTCGGTAACAAATAAAATATTTATCTATTCATGTCCAGTGTCAGAAATATTTTAAATTCTAATAAAATGTAGCCTTATGCCAAAAGCTTTAATGACGCTGATAAAGCAATCTCTTTCCGTTTGCCAAATGAATAAGGCTGAAAGGCTGAAAGGGAGAGTGCATCAAAACAAACATGAAATTTTGCCGCTATGTCAAGAAATATTTGATCGTACTTAACGTCCGCATCTGGGTGGACTCTTCCTGTGTAAAACTCTTTGAATCTCTGTAAAAGGAGGTGTTTCTGATTGTACATGTCAGCCTCTAAGAGCCCAAATCGCTTCCTGTGTATTTTATGTACTACAGACTGGCGGGCGTCTAGGCAACGATTGGATATGTGGAGGAGAGTTATCAGTGAACATCAGTGGGTGTGTTACTATAGCTTCAATGTACGTTAAACTTTCGCCGTACTTACTTACTTACATATTTACTCAAGGGTGACTAAGGTCTCAAAGTGCAGTTTTTTAAATTAGTTAAAAAGTGATGATAACAGGTCTTCGTACCTTGCGTCTGAATCGTCCGGCAAAGTTGAAAATGTTCAAAACGTTCTTCGAACCGAAGAACAAAGAGGTAAACGAAAACTCCCGTGTTACGTGAATACATCTTAACGAACTTATTGTAAGGATTAGAAATATTTATTCAATTTCAATTGTATGTAATTTTAAGACATTTTTTGGCGCCATCACTTTGGGCGTCGCGAAAGTTTCC